TTGTTTCAAAATAGATGATAAAACAACATACACGAAAAATAAACCTAGCAAAAAAAAATTTTTGAAATAAGAACATTTGTGTTATTGGAAATTCAATATAGGTAGCATAAATATAGAATACATGAGGAGAAGGTGATAGGGAACTGGTACTAGTCTAGCTACGAAAATATACCGGCAAACCTGGCTGCTGTACGCAAACCATGATTGACAAATGAGGCTTTTGCAAATTTCAAATAATTTGACCCCTGTAACATCTTTTGAAATGAAAGATATTTCATGTTCTCTTTTCCATTCCACTCAAATGAGTTTTCAGACGTGTCAGTAAACAACGAGGTGCCTCACAGAAAAAACTGTCTCGAATAATCATTTGACCAACGTCATGGTGATTGTTGTAGAAGGAATTTCGCACAACTAACCAACTTTTTTACCTATAAAACATTCGTTGATCGAGGATATCTATTCTAGATTCGTTTTCATACTTCTCAGAAGATGTTTCTTCAACTATCTGTGTCAGTGTTAATGGTGCGCGGACCCACATCTACCTGTATCACATCGACAACCCACAGTCGAACACGCTCTGAAAATCTGGTGAACACTTTAAATATGATCAAGAGCGGATCCTAGAAGATCCTAACTTGATACCCTTACTGTTTTCGTCACAATCATATGATTCAAATGAAGATATAGATAGTATAAGAGGTCAGTTACATAATGTATTATAGAATGAGACTCTGTCTGTCTATATAAATTTTTCATAATTAAAACAATTTACATAATGTGATTGGCATTTTGTAGCATTCTTAATAATGCTTCATAATTCTTTTCTGAGTTAAATACTACAGAACATGTATTGCAGAATGTCACACTGATTAACATAAAATAAAAAGTGTATATGGTTCCAATGATAAGCATTAACTTTGCGACCTTAAATTGACTTAAGGCACGTTCATTCTCTTTATAGAAATTCAGTATGATCATTTATATATGATATAAATGATATGTGTCTTAAATGCTTCGTCAAAAGAGTAGTTGGGCATGATAGATCAAGAGTGAAAAGAAAATAATTTTTTTATATTAGCAGTCTTGGTTGAAAGATGGTATTCATGTAGTAACATTAAAACTACTAATACTTAGCAGTAATGCATTTTTGTGATATTGGCATTCTTTTTCCAAATTATAGATTGTTTGAATTTATGTTATTTTTCGGAATGGCTGAAATCTGCTCACCTGGTTACTTTGTATTGGCGACTATGAGTAAAAATTTTGACAGTTTCGATGCTTTAGTGTCGCAATGAGTATCGATATCAGTGTGACAATTGTCTATTGAGCTTCGATATCCCCGTAACTTCAGTGTTGGTGAATCAATATTTACACTGGAATAACACATTTCTAGAAACATTCAATCTGAAGAAAGAATTAGAAAAGATTGTTATTCTCTTTGTATCCTGTTTGGATAACTCGAGAAAGCCGATTGTTTCAATATGTATTTTTTATTATCACTAAATTTCACTTTAAACTAATTCACATATACACCAATAATCTTACTCTGTTCGTCGTCTTTAATTTTCCGTAAAACCAACTCCTATGTATTCGTATAGTTATCTTTGTCTCGAAGTTACACAGGTACGCTGTTGCTCTTCTTTACTATACATTATCTTATTAAGTAACGATTAATATAACTCAGATAATTCACACAAGAATGGCGAGATTATTTTTGCAAACCACTGTAGTACAATCCTATTCTTCTTGATTTGTAATCTATAATGTTCTGTCTCTTTTATTTTCTATTTACTTATGTCTATGATACTATGCTATCATATGTTTCAAGTACCAGTTTAATTGAAATATTAAACATTGATCGAATAATATAAGCATTTATACAAAATAAAACTGGTAAAATATGTAGATATAAATGAGGGTATAGTTAGACGTACGATTCCCCAAAAACATATGGATTAGATTTGACGTTTGTTGTCTAAGGAAAATTTTATTGCTTAAATCCTAGTTCAGTATTTCTATAAATTCTTCAAGAATTAAAGTTGCTTAGTATGCTCTTTCGATACTCCTCCAAAGATTCCGCATTCCTACAATTACGAACAAAACCCTCATCTCCAGGTGCAATTTTCATTCACCGAAACAATCTTAGCAACAATTAGCAGTGATGTAGATATGAAAACCGTTACGAAACCCTTTTTGTATAGAAAACTAGGAAAGAACATTTTCGAAATTTTCACCGAACTTGCCACTTGTAGCACTATTCCGCCAGAGGGGAACATGTCTTCGACAACAACGATGACGATTCCTCTTCTTTTACTTTCACAGGGATGATTCCCAATATTCCAGTCAATGCCCGATGGGCACAGAATGGAGTGACTGTTGCTGGCGGTCATCGATGGGGCAGCGCCACTAATCAACTTCACAACCCTCGCGGTCTCGTCGTTGATGATGATCAAACAGTGATTGTCGCTGACCGGGGCAATGCGCGTATTGTCCAATGGAAGTTGAATGATACGAAGGGACAAGTAGTGGCTGGTGGTAATGGCATAGGAAGTCGATTAGATCAACTGAATTATCCAACTGATGTTTAGATTGATAAAGAGACGGATAGCCTCATTATTTTTGATCGAGTGAATCGACGAGTCGTACAATGGTCCCGTCGTCGTGACACAACTCAAGGAGAAATCCTCATCAACAATATCAATTGTGGAGGAATAGCGATGAATGACCAGAGATATCTCTACATTTCTGATGAAGAAAAACATGAAGTAGGCCGATATCAAATAGGAGACAAGAATGGGACTATTGTTGCTGGTGGAAATGGCAAAGGTGCTGATCTCAATCAACTTAACATTCCGGGATATATCTTTATCGACCGACAACAAACTGTCTGCATTTCAGATAACGACAATCACCGTGTGATGAAATGGAATAAGGGTGCACAAGAAGGAGTAGTCGTCGCTGGAGGTCACGGTAAAGGGAAGGCTCTGACACAATTGGTGTATCCTCAAGGACTGTTTGTCGATACATTAGATACTATCTATGTGACAGACTCACATAATCATCGAGTGATGCGTTGGCTTAAAGAAGCGAAAGAAGGTACTATCATTGTAGGTGGAAATGGTGAAGGAGTAGAAGCAAATCAATTTCGCTATCTCCAGAGTTTGTCCTTCGACCGATATGGCAATCTTTATGTTGCCGACAATGGCAATGATCGTGTGCAACGATTTTTTATCGAATAGAGTCATTACTCTGAATCAGCTTTTTTTCTTCCTTCAAATAAATCATGTTGGATTGGATGAAATGAATGGATTTTCTATACGAACGTGCGCGAAGCTCATGCACATACAAGACAGTCTCAAATCATTCATATCAGAAATGTGTCAATGAGCTGAGAGGGCACAGTCGAGTTTTTAGGAACTACACAGAAATCTTTCAAATAATAGGGGTCTAACCTCAATAGACATAACTAAAGATCACTTTGTTGAGTCTCACACTTACCCACCTCTTTCTGACTGTCACTATTTAATATCATCCCTCCATTTTCTCTGCTTTCATCTTAAAAAAGAAAAAGAAATAATTAATCAATAATTGATGTTGGAAGATGATGTTGTTGTTGATGATGACGACGCGATGATTTTGAGGACTAGAAAGAAAAAAAAGCATTATTTAATGTGATATAATGATAGAGAATGAGGTGACTTAACCCATTGTTATTTTTTTTTCTTCACTGCTCATCTTCTAAAATAGAAAAAAAATAAAAACTGATACCTATATTGTATGACATGTCTTGTTTCATGTTGAATTGTTCCATAATGCACACTCATGCAACAGTAAGAATAGGTTTTTATTGTTCAATGGTTGTTTTTCGTTGGACAGATCTCATTAGTTTTGTCTTGGTGTTACGTTATTATGTTTATCAAGGGGAAAACAGCGGACTTCAAGACTTTAAAAGACTTCAACAGACTTCAGCCACAGTGACTTCATATTTTCACAAGGCTTCAAAAGACTTCAAATGACTTTACAAGACTTCACAAGATTTCAAAAGACTTCGTGAGACTTCACAGACTTCTTGAGACTTCACGGACTTCATGAGACTTCAGAAGACTTTATGAGAATTCATAAGACTTGATTAGACTTCATAGGACTTCATAAGACTTCATAAAACTTCATCGGACGTCACAAGACTTCAAGAGGCAGATTCCATGCGTATCAAAAAAAACTTATAGAAATTAAATGAAACCTCTATAACATGCAAAAAAGCTTATCATTAAGTAAGGGTGTAATTTACAATGTACTTTATAATAAATACAAATTACTTATCATTTAATTTACGCGTAAATTAAATGAAAAGTAAATATAAACTGACGCTCTCATTCATAACGGAGTAACTAGCGTCTTCCGAGCACTAGGAACAGAATGATATTGATAAAATCAACGTTGAAAATATTATTTTAGCTGTATTTAACCGTGCAAAAGAACTAGTTAGTAATTTGAATATATTACCTTCATTAAACGAATGCAATGCCGGTGAACTTAATGGTTTAAGTAAAAATATATCTGATAGTATTAGATTCAACATTAATTCGGATAATTATTTAGCAACAGATTCAGATTCTTCATCAGATTCTGAATCTGATTATGATGATGAAGCAATGGGAAGTAATGAATTTGATAGTGATCTAATCAATGTGGATGAAGAAGATAAAGATGCGGCAATGACACAAAACTTTGATGAAATTAAAACTGAGAAAATAAATTTTACTGGTATGCGTATATTCGATTCGATTAATCCAGCAATGAAAAACTCCTATTTTCAAGTGCAAATAAATAACAAGACTAAATTTAGCCGTTTAACGGCTGATAGATTATCACGAGTGATAGAAACAAACAAAAAGGATTGAAAATCTTCATCAGATTGATTTGGATAGATGGAGAATTTCTTATAAAAATAAACCACTTCATTCAAAAAGCATTCACTTATTAATTATCATGTTTTCTAAGATCAAACAAGCTTGAATTTTTTCCAGTGCATTAAAAAAAAACAATAAAAAGTTCACCTTTCTACTAAAATAAAACCGTCGAAAACAAGACAATTTCATTAGTTTCTTGTGAATTTTCATGCACGAAATGTATTTTAAGGCTTCCAGAAGACTTCAAGAGACTTCAGAAGACTTCGAAAGACTTTCAAGACTTCAGTCGTGAAGTCTCCGCTGTTTCCCCTTGATGTTTATCATATTAAAATGGAGGATTTATGTAGATATCAATCATAGCATCGTGGAAAAATTTTTAACAATTATCTTTTAGATTCTTTGTCGTACCTATACGAAAATTGATATACGAGATATGAATTTATTATCTATATTGACTATGAAATGTTTATTTTAGATTATTATCATCAATTTTTCTCAGGCAACAATAACTTTTAACCATTGTCTTTGTCCTTCAGGAATGCTTTGTCTAAATTATTGATCACTCTACGAAACTAAATCATCATTACGTTATATTCAATAATAAAAAAACTTATCAAGATCTTATCAATATAGCGCCACATACTATTCGTTCAATTTAATAGAATGTGTACTTGATTGAACATTTTCTGTATACAAACAGAAGCATCGATAAAATATTATTAATTCACTCAATAATCAACAATGAATCAGAGTGAACGTATTGCTGTAGCGAAACATTTGATTTAATCAGATATTTTTATATAATATTGAGCTATTGAAAACGAAAAGTAAACAACTATCTAAAATGATTACTGTTATTCGCTCCTGAAGTTCATGTGGTATAAATGATTCTGTTTCTGAATGCCATAAAATTTTTTGGATCATACAAGGTAATGGTTCGAAAACAACATACCAAATATTTTTTTCGAACATAGTAAATGGTGTCTCATATTTATATCACATATACGAAGTGACGTAGTTCAAAGATGTAGCTTATGGTGAATATCTGAGTGTAGTAATTTGTTTAACAGCGTACAAATATAGAGCTGCCGAAACTAAGAAAACGATATTTAACAATGAAGTTTTTCATAAAAATTGCTCAATCTGTTCACCTCGTAAGTCTTTGCAAAGTTGCAATCACTTGAGTACTGATCGGCACGCTTGTCGACATAATTCTATTGACAAGTTTCGTATTTCTATCATGATAGTATTTGTAGAAATTCGGCGCTCGCACTGGCCAATCAATTGGTCTACGTCCACTGATCTGTCGATTAGGAAACTTTTTACACTAGACGTCTCGAGCAGACTGAGCATAAGGAGCTGGAGCTCCACCGTGCATATAGAATATATCTTTGTTCAACTTCTCTCGATATCTGTGTGCAGCAACAGTGTCACGAAAGAAGAACGGACCTACGGTACTTTCAGAGTATTTATGTCTTGCATAATGACAATATGAGGATTTTCTACAGCGCAGTAAACACAATTATGTCGATTAACATGTCCATTCAAACAATTCAGTCAGACAACAAAGAGTTTTTGCAATCAAGTTCGGAAAAATATCGGCAAATTGGCAAGATCGATCGGAGTAATCATCGCTCGGGGCATGTAGTAAGTGAGAATGATAAGGTTTCAAACTCAGCTCTTTCATCATTTGTCAACGGGCGGTTATTCTCTTGGTCAATATTTCGAGACTTTCCTGAAAAGTGGCATGAATGCATTCTCGACACTTCTTTCGGGCGTAATGGTTCTGGAAGTAACGATTCTTTTTGATACGGACAGCTGAGGACGTTCACTCATGATTAAAAACAATCTGAAAAAGACTAAGCATGATTATGTTAGAATGGGTATTTGCTGCTTATTTTTATCCGATGATGCCACACAGTGACTACACACAGTGCTCGAATCGAAGCGTATATATATATTGTCTGCAGATGCGACTGCTAGCACATATATAAATATTAGTAGGGGAGATAAAGTAATACATGTTATGACATCAAAACTATAACTGTTAAACGCACTTCCTTACTTTTGATCGCCCTGTATTTTTACGCTAAGCAGGAGATCTAACTGACGATTTACAAAGAAAAAAGTGAAAAAATTCTGTGTTAGGTTACTTTGGGTCCACCCTTTATATTAGAGAACAGCAATAGACTTGTTTCATCATTGAAAGTGGCAATATTGACTTAGACTCCTAATGTCTGTCAATTTCTGTTTAAATGCTACATTTCTCTATTATTTCTTTACGATATCAGAACTTTATCATCAATATTACATGCAGCTGTCTCATTTTCTGTTAAAAACAATGTTGTTGATTGATCAAATAACATTACAGCAAAATCACGAACGACTTCTGGTAATCGGCATCATCTTTTACGAACTCTTCACCATAAGACCATTTGAACATCTCTAATATTTATGCTAAAATGTTTTCTCTCCTTGCTTATCCGCGTCACTATATGGGCTCCTAAACTCGTTTGATGTTTACGAGACTACTGTGAGGTATAATATTATGTTCATGAATCTATCATTTATTGTCATTCTCTCTTTTTCTGTTCACTACTAGCGTATCTTCTCTTTCTGGACTTTGCATTTGCTCTATGTGCTTTGTTTCAATGTTTTCTCTTTCTCGTTCGTTCTCTGTCGGCATAAACCATAGTATAATGATATATGTATTACGTTTGGCGTCGATACAAGGACACAAATTATTTACAAGAAGAATGTTATGCTGCATACTCTAGTCAAAACGAACATTTTGCAAACAGTACAAGGTACATTTCTACCTCATTGTATTGCTTTAACTGCTCTGATATGCACTCTGGCAGAATTAATGATCACTGACCATGTAGAGAGATATGAAAACAAAATCAATTAAAACCCATACACCTATCTACCAACGACAAAACGACTGCAAATCGTATTTTTGATCTGACATGTGGAATATATGATCAAAAGAAGTTTTCTTGCATATGTATAAATAGCACAAGTTTAGATGTTTATAATACATATAAAAACTTAATATGAAGATACAAGCGATTGATATACTTTCTGAGTCTTTTAATACATGCTTGAATAACATACAATGAGCGCTGTAAAAAGCATGTACATTTTTATTTTTTTACACTTATACAAATCACAAAAGTATTGAAAAATTTTCTTTCATATCAAACTTTGTAGAGCTTTTTTTGTTGATCATTTTGGTTAAAAAAACTTTAAATTTCATTGAGTAATGATGATGTTATAGTCAAAATACTAAACACTGTAAACTAGCTTAAATTGCAATTTTTTCTGACAAATAATGATAAAACATCGATTCGCATATCTCAAGATAGTTACATTTTGGAGAATTATGAC